CTTTCAGCAAGAAGGTCTTAGGTTTGAACCCTGCTGACAAAATTTTTGTGATTGCTTCGAGCCGTCCAAATAGCTCTTTGCGTTTTGTCGCGTTACACATGCACGATGAGACTGGAGCGAGACGATGTCCCGATGTCCTCTCTGGACGGACATCTTCTATAAATCGCTGCCCGCCACCTCTTCACGCCATCGAACATGCTTCGCTTCACAGTACCTGTCCAAGCAGCTGGAAATGCTGAGGGAGATGAACGAGCAGCACGCCAAGGTGTACGAGCAGCTGGACGTGACGGCCCGAGAGCTGGAGATCACCAACGAGAAGCTGGTGCTGGAGAGCAAGGCCTCGCAGCAGAAGATAGACAGGTGACCGCCGACCCATCCGACAGCCCATAATGAGACGGTTATTGGCGTATGCTGAGTTTTGACAGCTATTTTCCAAAGCAGTATGCAGAAATGTTCTAGAAAAACGGGGAACTTAAGCAGCAGCAGTGATTTCCCTCATGCTCATAAACCCGTTAGAGATTTCAGAGAGCCATTAACCCACACAGGGCTGGTATGTCAGGTATCGGGGAAGTTGTTTTTTTGTTGCTGTTCCTCTTACGCAACCGCTTGTAACATGTTCAGAAATTTCTCTAATCGGAGATTAGACATTTACAAATCATGTTACTGGGGCTAACGGCTAATTATAACCCACCCACCCTCCACAATAGCTGCCTTTGTTCTTTCCGAGCAGATTAATCCGAGTTGTGTTTGTGCACTCAGGTTGACGGGCACCATGGAGACCCTGCAGAGTCAGGTGGACGGTCTCACGACTCGGGTGGAGGAGCTGCGGACCCTGGAGGAGCTGAGGGTGCGCAGAGAGAAGAAGGAGCGGCGCAAGACGGTCCACTCGTTCCCCTGCCTCAAGGAGCTCTGCACTGCTCCCAGGTTGCTGCAGCACACGCCGCAGTTTCTGTTCACCTCATTTCTATCCCAGCAGGACACTAGAAACTTCATCTAAAGGAAGTTTACAAGGCAAACTTTAAGTCATATCCGTTTACTGGAACCTTGTTCAAATCGATCCTCTTCCTGCCAATATAATGCAGTTGCGTGCAGATCAAATTATAGCATCCGAATCAGATGATCGTTCGGTTAGCAAAAACTGCTCCGTCTTTTAGGAAGCCCATCTGAACGCAACGAGGTATTGACTTTTCTCGCATTTATAACAAGCATCTAAGAAAGGAACTGCTAAGCTTGAACACTGACTAAACGCTCCAGCTCAGAGCCAGGAGTACTTTCTATGGGAACAAAAACGGATCATTTTTCTTTGATTGTTTCGAACTATATTCTCTCTGTTATAAAGTAGTCGGAATAAATTAAATTAAACAGTTTAGGAAGCATTTAAACCAAAAAAGCTACATTGACATGTAAACCCGCAGGTCCTAAACAGATGCAGAACCAGATTGTGAATGTACATCATGAGGGGCCTTTGGGTACAAAAGGTGTTCTCATTAATAAGCTTTGCATGGAGTGTGCTTATTACAACGAAGCACACCCCATGCATTTGTTTCTAAGCCAGTGCTGTGACGCTTTCTTTAGATACGAGGACGGGTTCCTCTTGGCCAACCCTGGCAGCGTTGACCTGGTGGAGCGGCAGCCTCTGGACGAGGAAAACGACCGCCTCAGAGACATCGTGTCCTCCCTGCACTCGGCCATGGCCTCGGAGCGGTCGAAGCGGGAGAGCGTGGAGCGGGAGTGCGCCGTGGTGCTGCAGGAGTTCGAGCAGCTGGAGCAGCGCCTGCTGGGCGCCGAGGGCTGCAAGCTGCGGGTCCAGGAGCTCGAGGCGGAGCTGCTGGAGATGCAGCAGCTCCGGAAGTCCAGGGTGTGCCTCATCGGGGACATGGAGGACGGCTTGGAGATGCTGCTCGGCAACGGCCCCGAGACGGACACCCCGGAGGAGGAAGGCGGGCTGGAGGAGGGCGGTGAAGCCGAGGGAGGAGCCGGGCAGCAAGGCGGAGGCCCGGTGCGGAAGAGCTGCAGCGACACGGCCTTGAACGCCATCTCGGCCGCGTCCGGCCGGCGCCAGGGCGGCTACCCGCTTCAGGGCAACGGCACCCGCAAACGGGGCATGTCCATCCTGCGGGAGGTGGACGAGCAATACCACGCCCTGCTGGAGAAGTACGAGGAGCTGCTGGGGAAGTGCAGGCGCCACGAGGAGACGCTGTGCCACGCCGGGGTGCAGACGTCGCGGCCCGTCTCCAGAGACCCCTCCGTGAGGGAGTACAACATGAGCTCAGCGGAGCCTTCCACGTCCGGGGCCGGCGCTGTCGGCCCTTCGACGCCTCCGCAGACCCCCTCCACCCCGGAGGCGCTGGAGGGCATCAGCAGGCAGGTGGAGCAGGTGGACAAGCGGCTGAGTCAGAACACGCCGGAGTACAAAGCGCTGTTCAAGGAGATCTTCTCCCGGCTGCAGAAGACCAAGAGGGACATGAACTCCCCGAAGAGCCGAAAGACTCACAAATAAAACTGAACTCCCCCCCTCAACCCCACAAGAAGAACCTAAATGCACTGAGAAAAGCTCAAGCTAATTTACAAAGCATTACCTCACAGTTCAGCTGCTGAAGTATAGGAAACGCTACTTATTCATGTAAAACTGCCAAACGTTATTTTGCTGCGCAGGACGTCTTATACAGGCCAGAGATCAGAAGGTAAAGATGGTTTTGTTTTGTTTCTATAATCGAGATGTCGGAGTGATTGACTGTTTCAATAATAAGCCAAATGAACCTAAAGCGTGAGGGGCTTTGGACATTTCCAGCATGTACTTGTTTATAACATCACTAAATGCTTAAAAAAATGAATAAATAAAATCACAAGCTTTAAAACTAAAGCAAATCTTAATGTTTTATATTTAATTTTCTTTTCCTGGATATGATGAATTCAGAGAGTCGGCAAATAAATGACATCTGAAGTTTACTTGCACAAGCTGCAGGACCATAACTATTCATACAGCTTCTTTAATATCTCCTCAAAAAGTCTCAGTAAATTTAATTGTGTTTTTGTTGCCATCAACAAGCTTCAGACAAAAGCTTTGGGTGGATATTTAGCCACTCCTTGGGAATGTTGGTAGTTTTTATTTACATTGTTACGTTCTTGGCATGGACTTTGTTCTTAAGGAGTTTTGAAAAGGTCAATAGAGGTCAGGGCTTTGGGAGGGCCAGTCTAAACCAACATTCAGTTTATTTTACATAACATCTAACCAAAACAATGCTATCATGCACTTTACAAAAAAAAATGTTAATACATTCAGCAATTAAGATTTCAATGATTTAATTATTTTAAAATGCGTTTAGAAGAGAGAAACAGAAAAAAATAAAACTTGTGCACCAATTTTTTTTTCCATGTTTCATATTTTCTATAATTTAATAGAACATAAATCTCAGAATCACGCCATTTCTGATCAGATCTACACAGTAAATCACAAATTAAGACCAAAGTACTGGATGATAATCTAAAATCATTTATATGCAACTTCTGCGGTTTGAACAAAAACAAGCGACACACACACCCACCCAGTCTGAACACTTTAATTTGAACACCAGAGATCCATAAACTGTAGGCAATACAGACAGCACACAATAAGTTTAACCCACCTCACTGAGAAGAACCGTCAGCCCCGTGACACACGAGGCTAAACGAGGCCAAACTGACGTTCATTTACATATGGAGTGTATAAAACGAGAAAACACCTAGCATGGCCAGCTGTGTGTTCAACCGTTAGCGTGCTTAAAGGCTGAGGTTTGGATACTGATTGAGAGACGATGGGTCTGGAGGCACAGTCAGCAGAAATAATCTCCACGTCGTAAAGTGAACGGTTTAACGCGTCCTGTATTCGACTCAGCATAGAAGACACAGCGATCGGGACTCTTAGAGTTCAGTTTTAGATTTTCAGACCACTACAAAGAAAAATGAAGAAATGAATGTTATCCAACAAAATGTGTACTGGAGTAATTAAACCTGAAGCAAAGACAAACTCTTAGCTCTGATTCCATGTGTTAAAACAGGCTCACATACTCAGAAGGCAAATGGCTCAACAATTTTTTTTCCTAGATCTTCATAACTGCTATTAAGGCCACGTAGATGCTAATAAGAAAAAAAAAGGAAAATAATAAAATACCTGATAGGGTGAGAACGAGCGGCAGCTAAAGCTAAATGGGGCTTGTGGGGTGGTTAGAGGTAACTGTTTCCCCCTGTTCTCCGAGTAGATTATATCAAGATCCAAACTATTTGGAAGTCCAACTAGTTTTAACGAGACCCAAGTACGTATAATCTGCTCAGAGGCTTTAGCTGGGCTCTGTTCAAGAGTTACGTCCAGCAGTGATTGCTAAATCTGCGCTAGCAGGCGTTCTGCGTGCTGCTGCCCGAGGCAGACCATGATGATTACACAGAACAATGAAAAATGTTAGTAAAAGAAAGAATCGGTGGTACAGGGGGAGAGGAAATCCTACACTGATGGGTTTTTTTTTCCTCCACCGTTTTCTCTTGTATAACAAACCATCTTGAAAATCTGGATTGTGCACAGTTTGCTTTCTCCATTTTTGAGGATTTAATACTTTATCAGAAAAGGGTGGGTGTAAACGAATTAATTGTTACAATTGAGGGAATGATGATGAATGACGTGATTAAAAGCTAGAAACAAAAGGTGCGAGAGCGGAAGGGAGGGCTGTGATGGACGGAGAGAGCAGAAGCCTAAGACGACATAATGCGGAGAGAAATCCTTGGAATGACAGCAAGACGAGGAAAGGCTGGAAAAACGCCGAGCGGGGAGGAAAGTGAACGAGACGCAGCGGGAAAAAAATCAGTCTTTCCAGTCCTTCTTGATAGCGAGGCTCCACTCCCAGGAGAGATGGTCGTACTTGTCGTCGTCTGTGAACTTGGACTTGATGTTGTAAGTGCCGCGGGCCAGCATCCCTTTGGGGGCTTCCTCCAGGGTGGTGAGGAACTCGTATTCCTCGTCCGGTCTCGGGCCGTAGCTTCCCACCATGTAGTCCGACTTATCCACTGCAGACGAGAAAAGGAGGGAAAGGAGACAGTGGCATGAGCAGAACATCTAGAATCTAGAAAAGGAGAATCCTTCTGACCACTTTCCTTCTCCAGGTAAGATACTGACAGCTCAGAAACAGTCCAAACATCCCCACCTTCCGATATAAGTTGCTCTAAACAGATGCATCTGAACAAGTGAGTCATAAAAGTTCATTTCTGTAATTCAATCCAAAAACAGAAACTTTGTTTGGACAAACATCCCTTAGCAAGTTGCACTTTGACCCCGCTGTTTTTCTTGGCATTAACAAACTTCTGCCATTGGTCTGGCTTCACATCTGACCATTTTTATTAGAAATGATGGGAAATGTGTTGGTTTCCTGGTATTGAAACCAACACATTCACTTTTTTCGTTCATCAAACTGAAAAAAAGGGGAAACGTGTTCTGGAAAATACGTTACATCTGAGCCTGCATGCAGAAGGGACTGGTTCATAAAGCAAATGGTAAAACTACATGTTTTGTTTTAAAACTCATAGAAACAGGAAGCATGTTACATAAGGGATTCTGATATTTCTCCACCTGCACTGAGTTTTTGGTGGCTTTAACTTCGAATTGCAACCAACTTAGAAAAAAAAAAAAAAAAAAAAAAAACATTTTTACCTTTGACTCCTTTCCTGAATGTTTGCTGATTGTATCTCAGACCTGAAACGATCTCTTTGTTCACCTGCAAAAAGCATCATGCATTATGCTTTCAGCAATCATTAAAAGAAAAAAAAAATCACCATAAATTTCAAAACATTCAGCAGTTCTAGACTAACAGAGATGCACAGAATGAGAGAACCATTACCTTGAAGTTGATCTTTATTCTGTACTCAACTCCCTCCTTCAGTGTGAATGGGTGCTTCTTGAAGTTCTCCAGGTCTCCTGAAATGTAGAAAATAAAAGAAAAATTTATTCTAGATATAAAAAAAACTTGGAACAAATTGTTTGCTTCAGTCTTAAACATTCTTCGTTTTCGTGAGATGGTGAGTGCACCGTCCACCAGGGGGCGCAGTGAATAAAAACAGGCAGCAGTTTTCCTTCCTTGTTATACCCATTTTGACCACTGAGAGGGGACAAAGTGCGCCATCAGGAAGTGGCTAATTAACCCACTTCCATAAGAATCTCCTCATTGCTAATTAGCAGGCTAATGACGCAGCGTCTAAATTTGCGCAGAGGGAAGGGACTGCTTACTGTGTGTAGTGATTGGACTTCCTTCAGTATGAGGACAGAGGTAATGCTCCTCCTCCTGCCCTTTGACCTCTAAAACCTGCAGCTGAACAGTACTTACCCTGCAGGTCAAGGATCAAGGGAGCGGGTGCATTTTCACACATCAGCGTCATCCGTGTCACCTGGACATTTGGTGCAGTGGGATCTAGTAAAGAGAAAAGTTAAATAAATGATGGGCACCGTGCGTTTTCTTCCTCTAAAAGCACTCATTAGGCAACATCTTCCTTCAGCTGATTATTTGGACATCACATTGTTGTTCTTCAGACACATCCTGAGGACTGTTTCCTTTTTCAGCCACAAAAAAATAAATAAATTCCACAGAAGTTTGTTTTTTTTTTTTTTGGGAGGGGGGGGGAGGAATGTTAGGATGAACAACAACAGACTAGGACATAATTGTGAAACAAAACAATAAATACAAATTAAAATCAGAAAATGTGGTGTGTATTTATATTCCCTCTAAATCAATAATTGTTAGAACCACCTTGCGGTGTAATTACAGCTTCTAGTTACTTCTGGTTTCTCTCTGCACAGACTGAATGACATTTTTGCCTCTTCTTTGCTGCAAAGTAGCTCAACCAGATTGGAATGAAAGAGTGAACATTTTTTAAATTCTTCACTCAAATTCTAAAAAGGATTTCCGCCTGGACTTTGACGGGTTACTCTGGGGAATTCACAATAACAAATAAAAGGGGATTAAAAGCCAAACAATCTTTATTAGAAAAGCTCTCATGTGCTGGTCAATCACATAAAGCCTAAAAGAGCAATGCTGTTTCACTGTGAAGAGTTCAAAAGGTGCACACTTTTCCAAAACACTGTAAAAGTTTGGCATATTCAAAAACTGCCTGTAGTGATGGCATGCGGAGATAAATGGAAACTTCTGACATGTGACATCAGTTTAATCTCGTATAACCATCTTTGTTTATATGAGGAGGCCCTACAACACATGGAGGCATTAACCCATCATTAAGCCCAAAGCAAAAGAAGATGGAGGTGCTGGTTGGCTTGGCAAAGCCTTTGCAACACTCGGATGTTTGTATGATGAAGTAGATGGGACTCATTGCTCTCTGTCAGGCGGGATAAATATTCGTATGCGAGGATGTCGATCTGAGTTGCCCTGTTTTCACAACAAACAGCTGACATTCGATGATGGAAACAACCGACGGGCCAAACGGAGCGGATAAATGAGTCGGGTCGGCACGAACCTGCGACCACGGCAGCCTTGCCCAGCAGCGCCTCCTTGTACTTCCGCAGGCTCTCGTCATCTTTGTCCAGCTCCTGGATCTCCTGTAAGCTCTTCTGTGCAGGAGGTTTGTAGTTTATGTCCGATTCTTTCTCCTCGTTGGCCGCGGCGATCTCTTTCAGCTGCTCCGGTGTGAGGTCCTGCTCTGCCATGGTGCACTAGACTGTGGCGACAGAGAGGGAGGGAACGATAAAAAATGGAGGAAACGGAGGGGCTCCTTTTTATTTTTTTAAATGAAAACTACAAGTGAAGCAAAGAGGCAAAGAGTCATGGCTGCTGAGAGGAACCTCTGTGAACTTTGACCTGAGGACACAAGCTCATGTACAAACAAAGGCAGGTTTACACAATGAAGCACAATATAATTTAAACACTTTTAAGCAGAGTTAGAACAATTAGTCATAGTCAGGTTGGTTTAAATGGCATAACTTAGACTAGCAACAATCACAAAGAATTAATAAAGTTGCATTAAAAAAAAAGAAACCTCGTCATTCTCCATCTATAAAGGCATCAACTAACAAGCAGAAGGTACTTTAATGAACTTTTACACTTTGATAAAATCAAATAAAGGTCATTACATGTGTTTGACGCATTAATGACCTCAAAGTTCCTTTTTTTATTATTATAACCCACTAGCTCTACGAAAGATCCTGCAGCAGCGCCTGTATTTTCTCTTGTGTGCAAAATACAAGGATCTCAAAGAAAAGCGGAAATCGGTATTGACCTGAAAACTTGATCGGTGCATATCTTGTTGCAGAGCCCTGGTAATGTTGGAGTAAAATTAATGAGAACAGCTGGTGAACACATGCAGAGCAAAACTTAATGAGAGCCAAGCAACACCTGCAAACAACAGCTGGATTACACTGCAGCCATAATGTGGTTCTTGACTTATTCTGGTTTAAGACCTGAAGATGGGAACACACAAATCAGCTTAATGTTTTATTTTTTATTTTTTGGGTGGTAAAAAAAAAAAAAAAACATTTCCTTAATTTAAAGAAGTGACCCTCAATATGAAGCCTACAGCAGATTTACCTGCTGGCTCCTTTCAGCCAACAAGAAAACACCCTCAAGCACCTCAGTGACGTTTTTCCAAAAATTCAATGTTGAAAAGGCCCGGCTTCACGAGACAAGCAAGGATTTGAAAAAAATAAAACAAAGGGTAAAGAGTTGATCAAGAGCGAGGAAGGTCTGCGACTCCATTAATTACATAAAATGGGTGAGAAGGAGATTGGTGCTGAATGTTGGTAAAGCTGGAAGCAGAACTGTTCTGAAGAGAAAGAGGAAGGTGTCAGGACAAACAGTTTCCTCGTGTTACAAATTACTCTTCCCCTATGAAGACAATCATTTCGCCCTCTAATTTATGACTCTCGTTAATCCGTTTCACATGCCAGGTGCTGTTTGTCAAACACAGACAGTCAAACAGACCTAAAACTCTCAGAAGGCAAACAATCGTGACTGATGCCAGCTGATGAGGCCAGCTGCACCTGTTCAGAGGAGGCAGAACACTTGGGAGTCCAAAGCAAATACGCTGCTGCTCATCTGTGTCCAAACCTCCACACATGTGGCGATTAGGAGCTCTGAACGCAGCTCGGTTTTCCCAACTAAGGGCCTCGGCGCACCCAAAAAAAAAAAAAGTCCAAAAATTCCTTTGAAAGCGAGTGCATGTTTGGGCCGGTCAGCAGTGCGAGATTGTTTGGAGGGAAACCAGGAGCAGATAAGGCAGCAGTGCTGTAATTTTCGTTCTTCAAGAGCTTGGGGAGCAGGTTGCTGGCTCTTTTTTTTTTTTTCTCTCTTCTCTTTTCTCGCTTCCTCTGCTTGACTCCTCTTGCAGCCACGCAGTGCAGCAGCATACCAAACTGTCCCACAGCAGGAAGTGCTCAGTCAACTCAGCGACACACAACGCTCTACTGGAAACTACTGCAGAGGTCGCGCAGTTTGGTTTGAACTTCCCCATCTTAACTTGGATGTTTGTGTGACCACTGATCCCAAATTGTGCACTTATTTTAAGACAGTCATGTTCTCTTTTTGTTGTTAAAATTAACGCAGGCAGATGAGATAAAACAAGAAGCGGGAGCAAATACAAATCTACTTAAACTGCAGTTTTAAAAGGTCCTTTTAATGGGATGCAGCAGAAGGTGCTCTGCAGCCGCACACTGGTTCTCAGAAAACTTTCACTGATTGCACAATTTGACAAGAGAATGGAAACTAAAAGAGCAGCAACCACCACACTTTTTAAAAATTGCAGTGACTAAAAACTACAACATTTTAAAGTTAAAATGAGCTCATCTGTAAAGCAGCAGACTGCCGGCTAGCATGGCTAACCAGGCAGCCTTTACCAGGTGGTGAGTATATAGTTAAAATAAGCTGTAGTAACATGTATGACTGGAAATTACAAAAATAAAACTGAATTTAGCTAGTGTTTATATTTAAATACCTTTTTTTTTTTAAAAAATTAAAATACCCATAAATGACTGGGTTTTGTTAAACATGAATCAGCCTGATGAACACTGCATTGATTTATGCAGTGTGTTGAGCCAATTGTTTCTAAAGTGTTATGCAATGATGACAATATATCACATTACTTAGAGATGCCTTCTTAATCAAATGTGGCATTTCTGGTTTAGTCATTTAAAAAGGTCCACATGCTCCATATAACAGTCAAACAATGCTGACATCATCACCTTTACAATGACAGCCATTTTTTTTCTCTATCTCCCTCTCTCTCCAGTCTCCAACAATGCGAGCTGTGGGTAAAGTTGCCAGAAAGAGGCCCTGTCATTGTTGGGCCTGCTGGGAATAAGCCCTTGCGGTCATGGGACTGAACGTTCTGCTGAACTTGGGAGTCTCGGCCGGCACCTGAACAGCTCCGCAGCCTGGATAAACTGTTTGCCTGAGCGGACTGAGCAAGCAGCAGAAAGTTACAAACACTCCAGACTTGGCAGCGGCTCAGGCGGGAGATTAGGCCCGTTCCTTAGGAACGACGCGGAGGCTCTCGAGACGTTGAGTTATGGCTGAGAAGGCGTTTTTGTTTTTTCTTTTTTCCCTGCAAAGTAGAATTTTGCTGATTAAGGGAGAATTGTTAGCAAGTGGGTCAGCTGTCCTTTCTGTCCTTTTGTGGACAAACTGCTTTGACCGTCACCTGAGACACGGTCTCCCCCCCCTGCGTGGCTGTAGCGTCCATGTTGCTGATGCGAGGTATTACATCGATACCCAAACTAATCAAGCACTACCGTTTGAGAAAGTTCAGTTTTCACAGGGCTGAGCAGCGATCATAAACATGTTATTCTTCTTTCATAAAATCATCAAATTGCCTCCATGTTTTATGACCTGCTACCTTTTTAACGCTGCTTCTGATTTATTGTGAGTATACAACATGCAATTTAATCTCTTCCTTATTCACCGTCATTTACAAAATGTTTGAAGTGAAGCTAAAACATAAAACCCGGTCAGGCAAGATTTCAGAGCTCCATCCACAAACAAGTCTGGCGGGGTTGGGTGTTTATGTTCACGCTTTCCATTAAAAGGTCAGAGACAGACTGGCCAGGAAGCAACAACAGAAATATGCAAATGAAGCTGAAATAGTAACTGTAGTAAGAGTTGAGATGCACCGCTCGAGCTCTTCCTTCCCGGTACAGATTTCTGTGTTTTCTTGGAAGTCTGCCCCGTCGGTTCAGTTGTTCCATGTGACAGAAAACACCATCGACTGCAGGTTCTTTGAGGGAGGTGCTCGTTTTCAATCAAACATAAGACTAAATTACAAGGTTACAGCAAATCATGCACCCAGGCAATCATATCTGGATTAGATATATTCTTCTGTTACGTTTATTTCAATTAGAGGAGCAAACCTCATGCTGTTGGGTGGTGTGTTTATAATCTGAAAATGGCTCTAAGTTTTTGTTTTGATACATTTAAGGGCAAAAGCCATCTGTGATTTTTACCAAATGACTGGTGCATCTCCATTTCAGTTTCAGTTTTGGATTCTCGATGCTTAGACAACGTTATTGAGAAAGAAAAAAAAGAAAGAACAACTTTAAAGCGAGCCATGGCACCTTCTGCTTTACAAGTGTTCAATGTTAAACTTTATGTTCAACATAACCACTCAATTTTCCCCAACTCAGTGAGAATAATTAAAACCATTGTGACTTTAACACGGCCGTTAACTTAGTGGTTTTGTTCTTTCAGAGCCGCTGTAACACAGACCGCTACAGGAGATTCTTTCCGCTCACAGCCATTGCAATCTACAACAACTCTTCAAAGAAACTTTGATAATATGAGTTGCAACATTTCATTTCTCTCTTAGGAATAATAAAGGATTTTTGAAGCTCTAACCCAACTTTTTTGTTTTTTTTAGAGCAACATATGTGTTTGTGGGGATCTATTTTTATGCTTTAACAGATGTATTGCCACACTGTTTTATCATAACAGTTAAGAAGAAAAAAATATAATGATGCAATTTTAAACCCAACAGCAACCCCTCAGTAACATAAAAGCAGCCACAGATGCAGACCTAATGTTGCGAGTTTTGTCCAAGATGACTGAATATGCACTCAGCAGGCAGGAAGGGACTCAACGGGAAAAAGAAAAGTTTGAAATCGGACATTTTGGTCCTCCAGCTCATAATTTACACATGGGAATGCTCCAACAAGGAATAAAGCTCATATTCACCTTAGTGACAACAGAAGAACACGAGTACTGTTGCACTAATGGTGACTGGGGAACCTGTATGCTGTGACATTTAGCGGAGCCATGCAGCTGCTTTGATCCTTTTTGGTCTCTTGGCGCTGAAGTCTCTTCATGCAACACCGAGTGTAACCAAGACCTTTGGACCCGTCCTTTCTAACAAGCGCAGCTATGGTTCCTCATTACGCTTCTGCTGTATTGCTTTTGCAAGCAGACTGCCATGGCTGCAATCATGTTTAGGTAAACCCAAAATTCGACGTTTGATAAGGTGGTGATAAAATCGAGCGATGCACGTTTAAAAAAAAAAAAAGAGTCTTGCATGCCAAGGCAGCGCAGCAGCGGCAGCCATTTTCTGCTGTCAAGAAGTGACTGCAAACTTCCTTTTTCATATGAGGAGGAGCGCAATGATTCACATCCTTTGGTGTATTAAACCGCAGAAGCGCAGAGATGAAGCTCAGCTCATCTTCTTCGTACTTCTAAAAGACGCTAAAAATCAACAAAAGCCGTTTCAAATGCAAAAAGAAAAAAAACAAAACAAAAAAAAAAAAAGCACTGATACTGATGCTTACACCAGTACACTAAAATATGTTGGTTCCCAGTAAGTTAAGGACATAGAGCAGAAATTGCCCAAAGCTTTGAGGAAGTGTTGCAGCGCGAGCTTAGAGCTGATGCAATGCAGAAGAGCTCAACGCCAACAGACCAGGGGGGTTAAAGAAAGAGGCGACAGGGTACTTTTGGACGAGAAGGTCTGAAGTGGCTTGATAACCGCCATACATCTGTAGGAAAGAATTTGATTAATTTCGGGTAATAAACGTCCACATAAAGAGCAGCCTGTGGGAACCAAAGATGCAAAACACAACTATTCCAGGAAGGTCCAGAACAAAGAGGAATAAATAGATCCTGAATAGCGCCTGCAACTAAAGGAAACCGGGAGAGGATGGGGGGCAGAGGGGAGCTCAGGTGCAAACTACGAGACATACAACGATTAATTAATGTAAAAATGAAATATGTAAAGAATACTGAGGCTTATCTCAACTTAAAATTGTTGCATAATATCCCACAACTGGTGGTGGGGGAGGCAGGGGGTTGTTTCATATTTTGGCTGTTTACCAAAGCTACAGAAGAAAACTATTTTCTAGCTGTCAAGCTGGCCTAACACAAGGACAGACGCTTCATTGTATGCGGAGGAGGCAGTCATACCTGTATACCTTCCCCTGCGAGGCTGAACAGAAACAGGTCACTGACATGATTGTTTAGAGAGGCAACTAAAGAGGACTGCTCTGGCACGAGAGGATGAGGGAGGAAATGTTTCCTACAACACAAAGATTTTTTTTTAAGCCTACAGAAGAATATTAATTGAGAAGGACTTATTTTCCTCAATTGGAAGGTCAAAATCCAGAAAACAGATCTTTATCTACTTCCATTAATCAAAATTCACCATTCTCACTCTACAAATACACGAACCAACAGACCATACAAATTCCTGAGTTTATTAATAATCAGATAATGGTTTGGCTAGCAATACAAGGTTATATTTATTCATCAACATTATCTCTTTTTATTAACCTCATGTGTTTTAGGAAAAGAAATCAGAATTGGCTTTTTTAGATTTTGATATTGGTCTTGAAAAGCCAGATCAGTCTGTCAATGTTTTAAACTTTTCAAATTTGGTTCTGACCCTAGCATTCCTCACATTGAGCTGCTAGGAAGTTGAAACATTTTTGTTATAAATACAAAGCTTTTTTTTCCCCTGCTTAAATTCAACCTTCTTCGGTCTATCAGCATACAACAGAGAGGAAAGGAAACGCTCAGTAAGACATCCGGCCATGCAAGCTTGCAGATTTTCAAGCTGAGCGGAAGTCAAAATTAAAAAGTTTATGGACAACCAAAGATATAAACAGATGTGAAGCTTACAGTAGAGCTGAAAAGAACCCAAGACCGTTATTTCCTCAACAGGAAGGAAAAGGGAGGATTCACGGTTTAAGAGATCTCTTGTACAAATCTATCGGCAGCCATTCAGTGAAACACAAAGTCTCAAAATCAGGAAAAAAAAAAAGTCGATTGAAACCGATTTGATCTGAGCAAGTTGGCCTTGAGCACTTCACTGAGGAGGCTTTCAAAATAAAAAACAAAAAACAAAAAAACAAAAATGGAGGCAGGTTTGAGGTGTGAACTGAATCAAATTTAAACAAGGCTGAGTACCAGGAAGTGAGTTCAAATGTTCTTCGTAAAGCCAGCCACATGTCAACGGCGTCACATATGCATTTCTTTCTTAAAGTAAACCAATGTAGTCGCTTTATTTACACTTTTTACCTTGCACTGGTTAATGCATGCGCTATATTATAAGTTTATTGTATTCAGAGGGCACACTTACCTAACCGCCTACACCCGGAAATTCACAACTGAACCGTCTACGTTCCCCGTTCAGGGCGGATAACTTAATGAGTCACTAATAAACTTCATAATAACAGTTTGAAACACTGATACTGACATAAAGTCAATTTAATTTGAGACGAAAAACTACAATTTTTTCGACGGAAACTTTCGTTTTGGCAAACAACTAGTTCCGTTCAAAAATGTTAAAATAATAAATTATAATTCTGTCCCGAAGCAAAAACATTACAGATTTAGCAGTAGCAGCTAAGTGTTGGTCGCATTAAATTGAGTCAATAAAAGTCTCTGCAGGGTGTTTTCTGTGTAGTCTTACCGTTTCACTTGTGGTTGGCTGGGCCAGTCTCCTGTGAATGAGAGTGAAGCGACGCGGCGGAGGAAAATCTGAACAAGAGACCACTCACTGCCATTTCCGCATAATCTCCTTCAAAATAAAAGCATGCAAACAAAACTACGAGAAAATCTCCCACTGAAAATTCTTACCAACTATATTTTATGAAACAATGCGTCAAACCTATAAAGAGTCACACGTTTAAACTTACAATTAGACGATTTTTGCCACATCTTATAATATTCACGAAATTCATAGCTTTCCTGTATTTTATTCATTTAGAAAAACAAGCCTCAACATCTTACGTGCCCGAAGCAGGGTGATTGTTGAATGAATTGCGCCTCTTGGGAGTCCCTTCATTTGAATAAGGAGGATCAGCGCGATGTAGATGAACTGAATTTAAACCAGACACCAATTTATTTATAGTCAAGTAGACATAAATGTAACTAGTAGAAAATTGGTTGCGCAACTCATAGTGGCTCGTTGTGAACCGTGGGCGGTCTGCCATGTTGTCTTTATCAAAAACAACCACAAGCAGATTCTAAATGCAGAAGCTTTACTTAAATTTTACTAACATCGATTAAATAAAAGCAAAGAAACAGCATGCTATCAAGTTTATTTACTAAAAGAGAAAAAACTTGAGGCACATGCATTGTAAAACACAACCCACGTTTTTATAATCCCCTATACATAGAATACTAATTGTCCTTATTAGGATTTAGCACTGATTATCCCAGTGTTTGCACATATTTATATAATCAAGAGGAGAAAAAAAAAAGCAAATGTTTGGAATTATATTAAAAAACGATGTACAGCTTAAATTCTAGTAGCTGACAATGACTGGACTAAATTACTTTTCTGGTTGATTTGAGGTGAGATTTGCATTCTAAACTGTGGAAACACTAGAAATAACGTGATTATTTTTAAACAAATATTGCTCTTCTGCTTTTTTAAGAAGATTTTGGTATGCAGAAGTGTTTGAACGCACCCGAAAAAATGCTACATTTTAGGGAATTAATAAAAACTTGAGATACTTGTTTTCTTCCAGAGTGGAGATTTACTTTAATCCTGAAAATCCCACCGGAAGTGGTTCTCGCAAACCTTTAAAGGAAATACTTCCGGAAACCAACACTGACATTTCTGAGTTTTACAAATTTGATCTCTTACTGTTCATGTCACAATTAAGTCCATTTCAACCCAATCATCATTTGCACCAATGCGTTTCTTGTACGTCTCCTTATATGGACTCAGAAGTGGTGCCAGTCCAACAGAGGCCATACTAGAGCGGGAATATCTTAATACAGGACGACACCTAGTGTCTGTATTGTGGCATGACAGAATTCTCGGGTCTATTAAAACCTTCAGTACTAGACATCAGTTAAACCTCCCAATAAAGTAAAAATATTTCCACAAGCATCCCAAAAGATTAATTTTATATTTCGCATAATCGAACACCAAATACATACATTTTAAAACACTGTCAAACTACCAGTGATGAGGAAATTTTTTTTCACAACATATGTTGGAACATTATATATAACAAACCAGACATTACAAAATTCATAGATGCATAAATCCAAGACTTTTTGGTTAATATACACTGCAGGTTTTATTACAAGTTTCATTAACTACAGGGCAGAGGGGAGCTGGGATACCCCAATTCAAAAACCTACAGTCAAAACCATTTTTTTTTCCATCAAAAAAAAAAAAAAAAATACAGGTAAAAAACACTTTGGAGTATTTAAAAGAATAGACTGAAACACTTTCAAATCACATCAGAAGACAAGTGTGTGTAAAACATTCTGCACATTTGTAACAACCACCCTCTTCTGCACAGAAAGGAAGGGAAGACAACTAAGAGCTTCATTTCTTAACTGGTGTCCATCTGGTAAAAAAACACAAACATAAAAAACATCAAGACAAGTGTAAAACATTACCAAACGAGATCTACTGTATTGTCAGCTGGACATACCCTGGCGTTGTAGGCGTCTAATTGTGCATCAAGCTCCTCTGCTGAAAGCGGTTTGCTTCCGCCACCTCGGCCACCACCCCGTCCTCTCCCTCTGAAGAAACCTGAACCACGGCCGCCTCGACCTCTTTGCATGCCAAAGGTGCGATTTCTGTTCATGCCCCCAACTACGACCAACCTGAAATAAAATAAAAGGGTAAAAGCCAATGTATCCATATTTTCTAAATAGAATATTTTATGAGTTTGCATACAGTAAAATGAACAAATATCTAATTTTTTAAAAATAACATTTAGTGCATAAATAGTGCATTTATTTAGTGTATGCTTGATTGTAGCAAAAAATGCATCTCAGGCAAAAAAAAAAAAATCTTCCAATATTAACATGAAATGCTCAAGCACTTTCTGCTAGCCTTAGCATCAGTACAATGTTGTTTTTTTTTTTAATACATGAATTGGTTAATGAATTTATAGAAAAAGTTGCTATGAGATTTTTCTTTCACACCAGGTGAAGCTAAACCGATGCCAAATGAGTTTTGAGAAGCACATTTCTACAGAGTTTTATTTTTATCTTAAATCCAAAATTTATACATTTTGTACAGTTTCAGCTTAATTATTGCTCTGATCGTGTTATTTTTCAGCAAATGGCCTTTAGAGCCTGCATCCTCTGGTTAATTAACAAATTACTAAAATTGAAATTTCAATAACCGATACACTGTTAATCATTTCAGCTCTAATCAGAACATCGCAAAATGTTGAGAAATTTACCATCAAATACAGAACACGCACACAAAATTATGAATAATAATGCAAGTTCATAGGAACAAAATGCCTTGGTTAAAAATAGAAGTAGAACAAGTTATAATGGCAACATGAGGGTTGCAAAGGGGTGAATTGACCAGACTTCTTAATCATTGAATAGCAACCCTAACTCACCCCTGCATAGGCCGCCTCTGTGTGTCAATCTGTGATGTGACGAGTTGAATGTTCATTGGCCGCCCTAAAAAGACAAATTGAACACCATACATAGAAAACATCAATGCATTTTGTAGGTTTGAGAAAAAAAAAAAAGAAAAAAAAAGAAGCAGAATTTCTGGCCAAATATTTCCTCTCACTTATTGTTTTTCATTGGCTAGTTTTAACACAGGGCCAACCTAAATCCTCCAGCTATAAATGCAGGTAAAAAAAAAAAAAACAGCACATTTGCAGAAAGAGTAAAGACGCAGAATAACTTAACATGACAATATACTGGCCACACTACAGACCAATACTAAGCTTTGATCTGAATCGTACCGTCAAGTGGGATGCCATTATATTGCTTCATGGCCTTCAGTGCATCTGCTCTCCTCTCAAAATGGACATCAGCTGTTCCCAGGCTTCTTCCTGAGCGATCGTAATGAACGGCAGCCTTCTTCAGAGTCCCAAATTCAGCAAAAAGTTCCAAAAAAAAAAAAAAAAAAAAAAAAAAAAAAAGAGTGAATTTGTATCCGACAACAGAAAGAGTAGGCAAGCAAGGACTGCAAACAAAACGTAACATACCTGAATGTCTGCGTCTGAAACACCGAAGTCCAGATTGGAGACTAGGAGCTTCCCTCCAGTTTCCACACCACCTCCTCCGCCAGCGCCGGCACTACCATTAAAGCCTCCGAAGCCGTTGTCGAACATGTCGTGCTGCCACTTGTCGGGGAGCTGTTTAGGCTGCAACAGACGAAAGAGAACGCACCTGCTGACTTCAGGATCCCCTTGCCTCTCTGTCAATCACAGAGTCCACACGTCTGGGTGTTGGGGCAAGCAGGGGCTCCACTTCCAACATGGCCAGGGTGGTCAGTTCCCTTAATGTAAGAGGGGTTGGTCCCCAAAACGTTCCCTGCCCACCCCATCACTACAAGCAAGCGAATCAGTTCAAACAGAAAGACAGCTCATTGAAAGCAAGGGGATATAGTGGAGAATTACATTTATAGGACAGACAGGAACTGATCCTTAGCAACATTACAAAATCTCCTTAAGCCATGACTGCCCAAAGTCAATAAAGTAAAAAAAAAAATTAAAAAAAAAATAAAAATAGTGCAAAGTGAATTTCATAGCCCACACCCAAAAACAAAAAACCCAAAACTGTACACTAAACCTGAAAAACTGCCCATACTAGCTACCAGAAGTTCCCATTGTTGTGGTGCCATCTGCGCCTCCTTCAAAAGGCCCTCCAGAGAGGCTCCGTTGATACACCGGGATCTCCAACTGAAGCAGCCGCCTCCAGCGCTGAACCGCCCGTCCTCGAGCACCGGAGAGTTCCTTGTCGTCTCGTGAATGTGGATAATGTCCATATGGTTGAAAAAAAAATGGAACAGGGCCCCATGCTCTTCTTTTTACTAGCGTGGATTACGTGAGCGTCCATTTTGAGACCACGCCATTTTGACTGGGGCTTTGTTTGGGGTTTTTCCCCCCCCCCGCGAGGCACTCTTTAATAGCCAAAGGATGGAGAATTGCCTTATAGGGAATATATCAGGGTATTAAAGTCCACTTTTCCATCCATAAGAGCCAGGGAGAGTGGTTGAAAAGCCTTCAGAACAGGCCTCGATAAACCCGCCAGCCACTCCCAGAACAAAAGGCCGCCTGGTCGACGAATAGGGAGAATCACGGTGCTCCCATTAGTAGGAAAAACTCATCTGAGGGTCAGCATTTTCGATGATGTGGTTTCCTTCTTTCCAATGCGAGCTGGGGAGCAGTTATCGCCTCCAACGTCTGGCTTTAAATTTCGGGTTGTGGATTCAAAATGGCGCCGTTGAGGCCTAGCCATCCGCTCTTCTTGGAAAATGGTGTAAAGCCATTTGGCTTGTGGGAGAAGGGACGCATTATAACAAACAACTTCCATTCATGCTTAACCGCGAACTACAGAGCTTCCCCATGAAGGAGAACTCGGCGGCTAGCTTTCATTTTTCGCTTGACTTAGCAAGCTGGCAAGAGGATTAGCTAGAAGCAAACTGAAGGACGTTAACCGGGAATTTTCAGCTGTGTCGAAGGTTTTTTTTTTCCTTTGACTGCTTATTCCTCTAACATTCTCATACCCTGCTGTAAGGCGTCGGCCTGCCTCTAGCGCGGTTCAGGTTCTGTCGATTCCTCATGGGGCCG